CGCCCCTGCCGCCAGTGCCTCGCCATGAGAGGATCCGCCGTCGTGGTGGCCGCCCTGGTCACGCTGCAGCTCGCCTCCTGCGCGGCTCTCTACCCTGGTGAGTCTCAGGGCGCGCGGGAGGGGGGGGGGGGGGGAAGCGGGTGGGAAGTGGTCTTAGGGAAGGATTGTTCATAGAAATGAGAGAGAGAGAGAGATAGAGAGAGATAGAAAGATAGATAGAGAGATAGATAGAGAGAGAGAGAGAGAGAGAGAGAGAGAGAGAGAGAGAGAGAGAGAGAGAGAGAGAGAGAGAGGGGAAGGGGGAAGGAGGAAGGAATCGAGAGAGGGAGGGAGATGGAGGAAAAGGGAGAGAGGGAGAGAGGGAGGGAGAGGGAGGGAGGAAGGGAGAGAGATAGAGAGACATAGAGAGAACGTTGGTCGATTTCACGATGAAACGAAAATAAAAGGATGAAGCAAAAGAAACGATATCACGCCCAATGCGATTCATGATAAAAATGAAACGTCCAACTTATGCCTTCGCTAATACCATGCCAATTGCGCATACATGCTTGTATGTTTGACTGGCTGATTAATCTTATGGCTGTGTATTTGAGCTGCAACTCATACTTCTTTCACTTCTCGTAGTAGATCGTCAAACACCGCATCGGTACTGGCGCCAATAAAAAAGACTAGTCCATGATATATGGTTTGATACAACCTGTAGATAAAGATACAAATACAAATAAATGTAAACATACAAATAAATGTAAATAAAATGTGAATCCTCTCCCTCAGGTTCGTTCTATCAGATGATGCTGCGGCTCAACAAGGGCCACAGGAACCTGGTCAAGAACGCCCGCACGGTGTCCTCGCCGAACCAGCTGTGGGCGATCCTCGACCCGCCCGCGGCCCTTGGCTCCCTCTGGAATGAGCCGTTGAACTCGAACCGCATCGTCAGGAGCGCCGAGTTCAAGTGAGGTTTTCCTAGTTTTGCCGCCCGTGTTTTCCTGTCCTCCATTTTCCGTGTTCATTTCTTTTCAGCTTGCCTTTCGTAAAGGCTTCACGGGTATTTTGCCTTGGTTACTTTCCTTCCCTCTTTTCCCTCTCACTCCATCACCTGGGCTTGCTTCTCTCACCAGGCTTCCCTCCCGCCAGAGCCCCGGTTCCCGGCCTCTCTGCGCTCGCGACCTTTCCCCAGTCCGCGACCCCGACATCAATTGTGGGATGAAAAAGAAAAAAATCTGCAATCTATTCAAACTCATTTAACTAAATGTAATATAATATTTTTTGAAGTGGTGTTCATCGCATGATCCTGAAATGAGTACTCCGCAACCCCATTGAGAGATATAAGCACGGGTTTAGCCTTGACAGTTTCCTTCCCTTCATTTCCGCTCCTTCTCCTTTCACTTCAACGCCCTTGCCACGCCCCCAGCAGAGATTTTGCCTCCTCTATTCTTCTCCTTTCATTCCCACTCCTCCTCTCACTCCAATACCTCTGCCACCGTCTCTCCCTCCCTCCATCCCTCTATTACATCCCTCAAGTACAATAGCCCCCCCCCCCATCCCTCTTGCTCTTGTGTCCTTTGGCCAGCTGACGCCATCACTCTCATATCTGCTCTGTTTACATTCTTCTTTACACTTCACTCAGTGATGCATATACTTGATCTATATCCATACGTGATTTACTTGCGATTTATTTGAGTATGTATAGAAACCTCTTCGTACACATCCCTTACTTCCTGTCTGCTGATTTCTTTAAATAATTTTTTTTAATTTTTCCGTAGTGAGATCGAGGGCCGTCAGCTTGATGACGAGCCTGACGTGAGCACGGACGCCCCGGCCGAGGCTGACACGGAGGCGCCGGAAGAAGCCACGGAGGCGCCAGGTGAGTCTCTGGCGACGCAGGATTTCGCTCCCTTGTCAGATTTTGTCTTCAGTTTCTCTTGTAAAAATCCGTCTGTGGATATCGTCTCTTGTTTATGGAACATCTGTAATGGCATTTAGTTTCTTAGATTAATCACAGTGCATACACACACAAACACACATACATGCGCCACACACACAGATATACCCATATATGTATATGCGTGTGTGTGTATGTATGTGCGTATATACAAACAGACACACACACACACACACACACACACACACACACACACACACACACACACACACGCAAATAAATATATATATATATATATATATATATATATATATATATATATATATATATATATATATGTATATATATATATATATATATATATATATATATATATATATATATATATATATGGCAGATCCTCCAAGGACCTTAAATGATCACAACTTCTTAGTAAAGAGCTCAAGTAAGGGACCTACACTGTCAAACATTTTGCAGGTTTCTGGCTTGTCTGTTTCGCGATTGTTGAACTTCCGTCGTACTAATCCGCTCCTTTGCCCTCGCTCTCATTACTGGGTCCTCTGCCCCGCAGTGGTGTGCGGAGGTGAGCTCTCGACGCTTCTCGAGACCGGCGAGGTA